CTTCCTTCCTTCCTTCCTTCCTTCCTTCCTTCCTTCCTTCCTTCCTTCCTTCCTTCCTTTCTTTCTTTCTTTCTCTCTTTCTTTCAGATTCTGGGGCTTAAATTCAGGTCCTCAGGCTTAGAAGGCAAACACTTCTCAACTGAACTGTCTCTCAAGCCCTGATACTTAAAAAATTTGTGTACTCACTTTTCAAAACAGTGAGTTTCATTATGAGACTCTAATAACTTCATATGTGTTGAATTCAATTTGTTCCATACCCTCACTTTTCCCCCGCACAGATACCATTCCTTTTTCTAAACAGCCTTTCTTCTGTTCTCATGTCACCTGAATTTTTAAAGGTCTAGACTCCATATATTATACAAACCACTTTGTATCTACTTTCCTGACTCTGGCTTATTTCACTTAAACTGATGATCTCTCGTTCCAGCCATTTCCTGAAAACGACAGAATTTTTTCATTTTTATTATACAAAAGTCAAATTGTTTCTATGGTAGATGATATGATGCTATTATTAAAAGACTGTATATATTTCACTGGAAAAGTTAGACCTGATAAAAACCTTTTAGCTGGGGAGCAGGATATAATCAGGGATTTGATGTGAGGGGACTGTTGTGTTAGCCTTCCTACGAAGGTCTGAACAACTGTCTATTCACTCCAGATAGGGACCGGGAACCAAAACCAAACCCCCCAAAACACAATCTCATCAAAGTCCATCTTGTGGAACCAAAGAGCTTACTGGGATTACATAGAGGAGCATGACTGACCGACGGCGGCCAGATGATTGAAAAGCCCACTTCAGCATGGGGGTTGACTCATGAAAGCGGCAACCAATAGCTGTTAGCATGACTAGTGGACAGCTTGACCGGTGGGGCAGTTCTCTTTTCATAACCCCAGCTGTCAACTGACACAAAGCTAGACATATGAGGGAAGAGAGATCTCAGGGAGTAAAGGCTTCCATCAGATTGGCTGTGAGCATTTTCTTGATTGTTGATTGATATGGAAGGCTGTGAGCCACAGCGGATAGTACCATCCCTAGACAGGTGGGCCTGCCCTGTGTAGGAGAGGTATCTGAGAAACCCAGGGGGAGCAAGTTGGTAAGCAGCATTTCTCCATATTCTCTTCTTTAATTCTTGCCTCCAGGTTCCTGTTTGAGTTCCTGTCCTGACTTCCCTTAAATGATAGACAGTAATATGGAAGTGTAAATAAACCCTTTCCTCTCCAAGTTGTTTTAGACAATGGATTTATCAAAGCAACAGAGCGCAAATTAAGACATTCCTCCTCTCCCGGAAGTCCTTACTGTTTATGTAACCTTGCAGAGAGAGGACTCTTGAGGCTCTCCTAAGTTTCATGAACTTCCTGAGACTTATGGCTTGTTTACTTCCTGAGTCTTAATGAACCTGGCATGAAATGCACCTAGTTGAAATTTTCTGATTATTAGTGGGTCTCCTTTTAGGAGGTTAGTAATTTCTATGACATTGCCGTACAGAAGATACCAAGATCAGCAATCTGAGATGATCTCCCCAACACTGAACAACGTTACAAGGCTGGGATTCCAACCCAGATATTGTGATGCTCAAACCCATGTTCTTCCCAGTTCAGTCACTTATTCTTGCAGAAGTATATAATGTAAAAGACAAATGTAATTTAAAATTATTTCTTTTACTTTTTAAGGTTATAATTGCATAATTTCTCCCTTACCCTTCCTCACTCCAACTCTTCTCATATGCCCCTCCTTACTAATATATGAAATTTATGGTCTCATTTTTCATTAATGGTTGTTATATTAATTTCATTAATTGTTGTTACAAATACATTGTACACACACATATTTCTTTTTTCCATTTTTTTTTTTGTTTTTTGAGACAGTGTTTCTTTGTGCAGCTTTGGTGCCTGTCCTTGTGCCTCTTGTAGACCAGGCTGACCTTGAATTCATAGCTATCCACCTGCCTCTGCCTCACAAGTGCTGGGATTAAAGGGGTGCACCCCCACCACCCAGTTAAATATATATATTTCTTAATGCATAACTATAAACTTCTCAGTTTATATAGTGTCACTTGTATGCATGTGTTCAGGGCTGAGCATTTGGTGAAGAATATAATTCAAAGATAACCCACTAGACTTTCAAGCATATCATTACATTACTTTTTTTGTGCTTTGCTGGGACGATTAGAACAAGTTCTTAAGCTTTTTTTTCTGAAATGTATTTCAGCTAGTCCTCAAAATTGATAGTTAGGTTTCCACTGAAAGTTATATTTCTATGTTGAAGAAGTGTGATTCCAACTGTGTGTCTCGGTTTTACGAGTGTTCTACCACTTTCCATACTTAATAATATTCACATCCTGAGAGTACAAAGGGTAGTTCTTGGAAATATGCAGTACTTATCTCAGGATAAGGTGCTAAGATATGAAGATTCTAGTTGCTTTGTTATTTGGATGAGAAATATAGAAAAGAGACTGAAGGCAATACTATCTACCTTCAGAGTAAGTCAGTGGCTTTTGATGGTAAGCGAGGGAAGTATCTACCAGCCAGCATTTGGCAACTGTGGAAGACTTATTTATTGTGGCTGTTTGAGACAGATTCTCACTCAGCCCCACCTTGAACTCGCTCCTGTAGCCCTAGGCTAGCTGCAAACTCACGATTCTCCTGCTTCAGCATCTCACGTACTGGGGTTATTGACGGATGCCACTGTGCCCGGCTGGAGACACTTGATGGTTGTAACTGGGTTGGGTAGGTGGGTGCTACAGCAACTGGTTGCTGGGAGCATGGAAATTCTGAGCATCTTCTAACATCCAGACTGACCTTGACAATGAAGAATTAGGTCAATACAGAAGGTCAACACTAACGGGAATTAGCAGCCCTGAAGCAAGGATGTATTACAAATACCCATATCTTTTCTACCTGTTTTCCAATAAGGGAGTCTAATATTATAGGTTCCTCTTTTATAGTTTTCTTAGGTCATCAGTAGACAGAGTTTCTCAGCTCCAGATAGGAATGTATTTGCAGCTCTGAAATGCTTCCCCTCGTCACTGGAAAGAGACATCTCTAATAAGATCACGCAGCAGATGTGACATGCTCCATTGTCAAACTCTTCCCAGCCTCTAATTGGTATTGCCTGGAACCTTTGATGGATGATATTAAGAGCTATGAGTAGTTAATTACGGATATTATTTTTGATTTGAATACGTTGTTGAAGGTGAGCCCTGACAACTGAAATGTAAGATGTGTTTCTTACTACTAATTCCAACATTTTAAGTAATTATGGAATTAAGCCTCTCCTGTGAAAAATGAGATATTTGACTTTTAATCTTGCATATTGAGGTGTTTAATATATACATATAATCTATCTATCTGTCATCTATCTATGTATGTATCTATGTATGTATCTGTCTATCTATCTGTCTATCTGTCTATCTATCTATCTATCTATCTATCTATCTATCTATCTATCTATCTATCTATCACCTGTCTATCTACAGATTGAATTGTGTATAATGTGTCTCACAGTGTAGAAAGAGGAGAAGGGATAGTGCCTGTCATATGTTGCATACATCCGGGTACTACTAACCATTCTGCATGGTCGCCATCAGCACAGAGGTATGCACCACAGTACTTCCAGGTGGAGAAGATTCAAGAGGTCTAATATGGAGCCAGAGTCAAGTAACCAATTGGTTAACTGAGTAACCAATCATCGAGAATCACATATGTCTGATCCATAAGCTAACCCACTTAAAAAGCTATTCCATGGCTGTTCAGTGACTGATAAACGATCATGCCTATCAACATGCACCTTCATTGTCCTACATTTGCAGAATTGATATACTTAAACTCATGGTGGAAGAAAACTTCTGAATGTGACTGATGTTTTACACATCTGTTCTTAGCTTTCCTGGTACACTCAGAGTCATCTTATTGTTATGGAAATATAGGACCTGGAGAACCTAAAGGGAATTTTGACTAGGGATTCAAAGTTCATCTACTAGCAGGAGGAGGCTGAAACCCATCACTGCAAGTGCCAAACGATGAATTTGTTGTAGCAACCCAACAAATCAGTCATTTGGGAGATATTTGAAAACATAAGCATAGCCCAGAAGAGCCACACATGTTCGGTACCTTGTTCCTGCACAGCCGCTGGAGAATCAGTGGGAACACTATGAGGAAGGGCCCCTGGCGCTTGCTGGTACTCTGCTTCTTCCCTTTCATCTCCGGATTCCTTTTCTGAGCCAGAAGCCGTCTGACTAACTGAAGTCAGCTTCACACGGAGGGCATGATTCTCTTCCTCTAGTCTGTTGATTTCTGCCCTCATTTCTTGGATAACCTGCATGAGGTGGATGCTAGCTTCCATGGCCTCTTCCCACAGACTGACTTTTTCTCATGAGCCAGATGCATAATCTACTCAGTGGGAGAGGGTCATCCTGCCCGTAAACAATATATGCCACTTGAACAATGGATCTCACGCACCCCCCGTGCCATCTTTCATCACCAGGGTAGACTGTCCAGGGAGGTAAAGGATCTTCATGACTTATTTATCCAGGGTTTTGTTTTCCAGAGCACTACTTTTCTATCTTTCATTTCATATCAATCAACAGACATAGAATGGTGTTTGTGTCTGAGAGAAGGGAATATTTCAAAAATTTCCAGTAAAGGGCAGAGTTTCTTGTTACCATCATTAATTTACCATCATGATTGCCATTTAGTCTTTCCTGTTGCCACATCCAGGATCAAATAGTCACATGATCACCAACTGCTGCAAGTATATCAAAACCGACACATAAATAATTCTTTGCTTTGTAAACTGTGTTGTAGTTCTGTGTTTGGGAGCAAATTACTAATTTTGATACCTGTTGATTAAGAAAAGCTTCTGCTAGCCACAAGGTGACAGAGGAACTAACTATAGGAATTTTGTTGAAATGTGTTACTGATAATTGTGCATAGATTGCTCAAGATAGGCAGGTTTCTGTCCTCACAGATACATTTTTGCTGTTATTGGCTTTTAGGATGTTTTGTTGGCAGAGGCTTTCCAGGGAGATTTTGGAACGTGAGATGAACATGAGATTCATCACGTGAGATGTTCTAGGGTGAACATTAGTCTTGAATGAGAAAGACATAAAGTGCCATAGCTTTCATTACCTATTTCCTCAAGAGGTTTCTTTGTTGGGAATGAAAAGTACAATCCAAAACAGCACATTCTCCAGTGTCAATATTTGGAAAATCAATGCATGTTTCAACATAAATGTGTTTCTCAACTGGGTGAGATTGATTAGAAAACTGTTTTCTTCTTTTTCCTCTGTCTGTTGACACTTCAAGTCCATCCTAATAGACATCTGTTGACTGACCCTATGCTACAGAGAGGGATGAACAAACCAAGTTTTATTGCTCTTTTTACCAAACAAGTTTGCTTTTTTTTTTTAAGATTTATTTCTTTATTATGTATACAGCATTCTGCCTGCATGTATGCCTGCACACCAAAAGAGGGCACCAGATTTCATCATAGATGGTTGTGAGCCACCATGTGGTTGCTGGGGATTGAACTCAGGACCTCTGGAAGACCAGCCAGGGCTCATAACCTCTGAGCCATCTCTCCAAGCCCACAAGTTTGCTTTTTAATACTATTTATTTGTTTATTACCAGTACTGGGGATTGAACCCAGGACCTTGTTCATGGTTGGGAAGCACTCTACTAACTAGATACAATTCCAGGCAACAACTTCCTTTTATATGTTCAAATTTTAGGATATATTTATTCGATACTTAGTCTATGAAAATAGGTAGGCTGTTATGATGTGTTATTTCTATTTTAATGTGAATGAATTTTAACGAACACTTGGGTATGAGGCTCTCTAGAGACCACACAAGTGGGTAACAGAAATAAAGGCTGTGAGAGGAGATGGGATTGTAATGGTGGTTTAGCTTAACCACCACCGAATGTTCAGATCTGTTTCACAGTTTGTAATGGATCCCATTTTTTGAGTACTTCTATTTTAAGAGTATACTCTTTTTTTTTTCCTCTAGAGTTTGTTACCTGAAATTTTGGTGTGGAAGCTAGATCTCACTAGTATAGTTTGGACTCAGACTTTCTATGCAGCTGAAGGTGACCTTGAACTGCTGACCTCCCTGCCTCTACATACAGGGATTACAGCACCACACTTGCCTTTAAGAGTGCTAGGGATCAAACTCATGCTAAGCAAACTCTTTAGCAACTGAGCTACAGATCTAGCTGCCTCTAGCATTTAACTACCCTCTATATGCTTGTTTTCAGACGTTCTTTTTGAAAATAGTTGGCAACACATCTAACCTTTGTTTTTATGAAATTCTTGATCTAGCACAGTAATTCTCAAACTGTGGGTTGCGACCCTTTGGCCGGGGGGGGGGGGGCTCAAACCACCCTTTCACAGGGGTTGTCTAAGACCATCAGAAAGCAATCATCATTGCAATTCATAATAGTAGCAAAATTACAGTTATGAAGTAGCAACAAATATAATTTTATGGTTGGCGGTCAGCACAACATGAGGAACTGTATTAAAGGATCACAGCATTGGGAAGGCTGAGAACCAGTGCTCTAGCAAGTTTCAATGACTCTCTATTCTCTAGAAGCAACATTGCCTCTCTCCTCAGTTGTTTGCTGTCTAATGTGGTTTCAGGGGTTTTGAGTGCAACATAGACACTCTTTTTTATGTACTGTATTGATATTTGTAGTGATATTTCACTACAACTGTATTGTAGAGATACTCCATTTGTATTTTAGTAGATAAAGCTTGCCTGAACATCAGAGAGTAAAACAGCCACACTGGTCAGCCTTACAGACCAGACAGTGGTGACTCACACCTTTAATCCAATAGTCAAACTAGTTGCCACAGAAACCTGACTGTGGTGGGGCATGCCTTTAATCCCATCACTAGAGAGGAATATAAGCCTGGAGGAGACAGCTCTCAGACAGTCTTATTATGAGGATTCCTGGTGTCAGAATCACCACTTTGGACTGAGGTAGAGGTAAGAGCCAGTGGCTGGCTGTTTTTCTTTTCTGGCCTTCAGGTTGAACCCCTATATCTGTCTCTGGGTTTTTATTAGTCACGCTACTCACTATATGTCAATAGGCCTCTTGAACTAGGCCATCCAGCTGTAGAGATATCCTTCTGAAGGTGTCTATCACAGCACCTGTATTGTATTACAGAAAACAATATTCTAGAAAATATTCTACACAAGTGGGTAGTAAAATCATTCTTAAAATTATGTTTAGTATTGAAAGCATATTTCACTCTTGCAGTTGTTTTCAGCAACAGCATAGGACACAAAATAATGTGTAACTGTTGTAAATTAGAGCATTAGAGTTATAGACAACTTGATTATATCTCTAGAAACAAGAGAAAATGAACCCAAAATTTTATTTTGCCACAGAATAAATACTTTAAAAGTCAGTAGTTTTCTTAAGTACTACCAAAATTATGTAGAAATAAAACAATTGGAAGGTATTCCAGTGACAAGAATTCTTCATATGTGAAATCCACAAGGGTTTTTTTCATAGAGTTTGCTGTTTGTGTAATGAAGAAAATGATAGCATTTTACAGAGGCATACAAAAGACAATAAGAAAATAAAACCTATTCCTGGCAAGAAGACTGCAGATTTTAAATAATTTATATGTCTTATGAAAACTCAACTAAAATTCCAATGGTACTTGGAAATTGACAAAATCGTTGTAAGGGTCATCTGGAGACAATCACTGTGCATCGTCTGATAGTGAGGGCTTATTTCCCATGTCTTATCTACTTAAGATTGTCAACATAGCACACGACTATGATGAGGATAGAGCAATATTTATGAGTTCACAGTCACGGAAAAGAAAAAAACAGTTCTGAGAAAAAACTCAAGAGAAGAAATGTGGAGAAAGTCCAGAATTCTGAGTAATTTGGGATATTAAAGTAATTAAGTACTTATTTTCGGAGGGGCCTCAGAAGTTAGTAAAAATTTTGGAAAATAAAATAAACCTCAACAGACTTGGTCAATATAATTTTTTTAATGAATAGTTTAGCAATAAATATCAAGCATCTAAAGAAGTTCTTAATAGTTGTTGGGAGATGACTCAGTCAGTAAAGTACATACTGTGGAAACATGAAGATGTATGTTCACAACACACATGTATGAATAGGACATGCACATAAATATACACATAAGTGTAAACTATTAAATTCCATTAATTTTTTTGGATGTACTACAAATCAATAGCCAAACCTTGGAAATAACCTAAATGTTCAAACAATGATAATGAATAATTCAAATGTAACTATACAACAAAACAATATTCTGGACCTCAAAATGCTGAATGAAAAAATGTAGTGTACCCAGTAATATATAGAGAAAAACATAAACTTCGTACAAAAGATTGAAAGAAAATATCCAAAAGAAAAATCATCCTTATCTCTGTGTGCTATGACATTGTATGTTTTTCTGTATAGATGTATGGCACCTGTCTCATTTACTTTTTACCACAGTGATAGGACACCATTATCAAGGCACTTTGTAGAAGAAAGGATTCATTTGGGGCTCACAGTTTCAGAGGGTTAGAGTCCTTGACCATTGTGGTGGGGAATGTGGCAGCAGACAGACAAGCATGGTGCTGCAATAGTAGCTGAGAGCTTACATCATAACTCATCTGGCTATCTATCTCTCTATCTCTCTATCTCTATCTATCTATCTATCTATCTATCTATCTATCTATCTATCTATCT